TCTTCCCACTCTTACTTGGTGACTAGAAAATGTCCTATGTTACCTTTAGTAATAATAGAACTTACAGGAAAAGTAAGTCCCTCCTTTAAATAATACATAGGCTCATAAATATATCCTATAACATTTTCATTAATTATGCTTTTCTGTTAAAGTTTTTGTGTGAGTTAAATTTTCTTAGTGTGACAGCCTTCTGAGGTTTTGTTTGTATTGTTATTTTGCTTTATCTAAAATTAATTCAAATTGTTCTTTAGAGTCATTCAAAGCTCCACTTGAAGCAAGTATGAGTTCAAATCATATATATTCTCCTAAGTGTCTCGATTTGGAACTATTAGTTTGTAGGACTACATAGATTATTGTTACCTGTATTTTCCAGTCAGAAATCTAGGATACTGTCTTTATAATTCTTTTTTGAAATAACAATAAATAAATTTAGGAAGGAAAGTGCAGATTGTTTAATAGTGCAATGCTTCACTCCTTGTGCCACCAAGGAAGCCCTAAGTTTTATTTTTAAATCAAGGATGTTTAAATCAAGGGTATCTACTTTGGAATATTATAATCAAATGAGATGCCATATGTAAAAAGTACCTAGTCAGCATACAGTAATTACTCCAAAATGTAAGAATTAAAATTATGATTACTCTTTGTACTCAATATTTTTGGAATAAATTGATTATGCTATTTGGAATAGTAGATAGTCCCCAAATTTCATAATTCTGCTTCATTTTAGTCTATATTCAGGTCATTTATAACAGGGGTTAGAAAAAAAGAAACAAAGACAAGGTAGTAAAAAAGCTCTAATAAAGACTATTCTAGGTAGAAATCTATTCATTAATAAGTTCTTGGTGCATAAATATTCAGCCTGTTAAACCAGTAAATTTTGGTGATTATTTAACTCCATATTGCCTGCAAGGTATCTGGAGAATTTTGTCAAATACCCTGCTTAACTTTACACATATACGGATATACAAACATACATACATGCATAACAAACATGGGAATACCCACACTAGCTTTAAGATAAAATAGCAAATCATTCTAGCAAGTCTTGTTATCAGTGAGCCTATGATACTGCCTAATAGTGCCAAATTTGTCACTAATTACAAAAGATTTGCTTAATTAATTTATTTGATATATTTGTTACCCACTATTTTTATCTTTTGAGACATGAAAGGACATTTTCTCATCTGATTTCTTTTATATCTTCAGTTCATCTATGATTAAATCCTTGATGTCATCTATGATTAAATCCTACGCTAGCAGGATTGTAGTCACTGAGACCTAGAGAAGTAAATTAACTCAAGGCAATGTATCTATCTCCTCCAATCTCTTCCCTAACTGTATTTGTTATATCTGCACCTTCAATTATATTATATCTAGCTCCATTATTACTCCTTTTTAACTTATCCTTCCATTCATTGAAGGATGTCATATCAATTTTAGGGCAAAGACAATTCTTATAATTCTGAAATACATCAGAATTATTTGTTTCTACACTCCTTCGGGATTAATAATGCAATTTGTATTATTGTATTTTAAAGTTTCCTCTGTATATCTTATACAGGGTCCTATATCTGAATGTAGAGTGAATTAAAGCAGAATGATGCAATTTTTAAGAGAGTGGTCAGTGTTGGTTCCCTTGGGAAGGTTTCATTTGAGCAAATATTAGAAAAATGTGGAGGGTAAACATAAAAGCATATGCACAAAGAGTGCTCCTGGAGGCAGTAAAAGCCAGTGAAATTCCTGATTGTTTAATTAAGTAGAAAGGGATCACAGTGACGGGGGCTGAAGAAGTTAGAGAAGTAACAAGGGGATAGTGAAGAGTCTTGTTGGTCTTTCACTGAAAGGTAGGGGAGCCCTCAAAAAGTTTTGAACCAAGAGATGGCATGATCTGATTTATATTTAAAAGATATAAACAAGGGTATCTACTTTGGAGTGTAGTGTACTGCAGTGTTGAGATCAGAAATGTAGAGAATAGGATAGGGGCATAAATATAATTTAGAGATGATGATGTCTTTGATAAGCAGTGGAGATAGTGGGAAGAGGTAGGAGTCTGGATATTTTATGAAAATACAGACAACAGGTGCTTTTGGAAGAAAAAAGAAAGTCAATGATAATGCCAAGGTTTGTGGATTGGCCAGTTGAAGGTGAAGTTATTTCTAACTTATAGTCTGGCAAGTTTATGGGGGAAGACCAGATAATTATTTGGAATATATTTGGCTTGAAATGTCTATTAGGCATCAGTAATTGCTCAATAAATGTGAGGTGCCTGCTTACATTCTTTTGTCTATAATCATATATATATATATATATATTTTAAGTTTGTAATATCTGGCTTTCAAAACCTTTCCTTACTCGAGAAGATTTTTTTTTCACCAGTATATTAATAGTGCCTTTCTTAGTACTATGTGGGGAAAAAAGGAAATCTTCAGGATTTAGAGTAGGTATTTTGATATGTACTGGCTGGTTAAACATGTTATTGACAAAATATGCAAATTTTTGGTAAGGTAAATTTCCACTATATATTTCCTCATTATACTTTACATAGTGTTGATATGCATCCATTTGAGACAAATATTCACTAGAATGTGCAAACTAAATATATGTGTGTATATGTGTGTGTGTATTTATATACACATACACATAAATATATATTTACTTAGACTTTCTGTGGTATGAAAGTTTCTATTAGTGAAAAATTCTGAGTACTTCTTTAGATGTTTGTAACCATTTATCATGCAATTGTAAAAAGTATAACAAGCAATAACAAATAGTAAAAATATTATTTTTAATTCTTACTATTTGATTAAATGTAATTTATCATAAATTACACACTGATTTGCATAACCATCTCCTTTTAAAATTAACAGCCTCATCAATTTTGGGTCTGCTTAACAAAGCTGACTCTGAAACTGCAGATCAAATTCTGAACCAACTCCAGATAGCTAACTCTTCCTAGCTCCAATTTCTTGGCACTACTATCAAAGAAATTAACATAGTGCAAAAGTCAAGTAGGTAGCTTACCTACTTGAAGTTTACCTTTCTCTAAGATCTAATTTCCTGGTTTATTTTCTTATTAAACTTCCAAGACTATTTCCAGAAATATGGTCATTACTTGGAAGTCAATGTTTATTTAAGGTCAATGAGAGTGGAAAGTAAAGAAAGTATTATGTAAAATATGTTCGGAAAAAAAATAAGTTGATATGTATATCTTTTATTTATGTCAGGCTTTGAAGACATACTGTGCTAACAGGATTACAAATACTCTTGAATTGATTGTTCAGTCAACTGTTAAATGAGAAAAGTGTCTTATTTTTAATTTTGAAGATTAACTACTTTCAAAGACTAGGGATACTCTAATTAAATTCTTCACTTAAGCCATCTAGACTAGAAAGATCATTATATCAAGAAAAATATTTCAGCTTGTTTTCATCTATAAATCAAGTGGTCTTTTTAATGTGATCTTTAATTAATTCCACCATTTTTGAACATTTCAATATCTTCTATGAAATATCCTTCCATTATAAAAGGCAGTAATAATGAACAGAGGCATGGGTTCCCACCATACCCATTATCACCAGTTATAAGCAAAATTACATATTGATACTCTCCTAATCTAGTGTCTTCACCCCCACTAGTTTTGATTAGCACTGTGCAATTTAAGAAAGGCCCTTAAAACTTAATGAGTAAAGATATTTTTTCACATCTCTCCAAGTGATGTGCATTTTCCCCTGTATGTGCTCCAACCTTGTAGCCATTTACAGCTTCCTATGAAGTATCATATATTCAACACTCCACTTATCTGCTTCTCCTTCCAGATATTCTAGGTCAAAATACACCTGTTCTGTATGGCTTTTTTGAGCACTGAAAAGTACTCCCAGATTACTGTAATCCACACATTGGAGCCAACATTCACTCTGCACACGTACTCTGCCCCATTACTGCTACAGTTATCCAGTGGTGTACCCTCTCTCACTTTGATGCTGTGCACCCCCTTCATCAGTCCATACCCTGGGTTTTAAGGTCCCTAATGTGGGTGTGTGTCCCTGAGTTAACATCAGCAGAGAGGCTGCATATGGCATATGTCCAGGCTCCAAAAATTGAATTAACAACACTCAACAGGAAGCGAAGTTGTCCTCACTGCAAAAACTCAATAGAGAATGGGATAACTGATTAAGTCCCAAACAAATTTGGGATACGATTTCAATTGCTGAGAAAGACATATGCATACTCCCTTTTATCATGCAGGGGCTTTTGTCTTTTTTTAGGTTTAATTTGGTCATAAATATGGGGAAGAGGCAAGTCCAGCATCTTCATTCTATAACCATCTTGCCAGACTCCCCAGGATATAGAAAGGAATGTTCTCCTCTTAGAATAAGATTGTCAGAGCAGATAGTTAAAAACAGTGATGAATGTGAATATAAAACATACTTATATGCTGATTTCCTTTAGCCTTAATCTGAATACATATCCTTCTTGAAAAGCCGTGATCTTAAATTAGTAAATCTCAATATTTTAATAAAGAATACTATTATATCAGAAAAGGTATAATAGAACATATTACCAATATCTCTACATGCCAGTTAAATTTAATTTAGATAATGAGGTTCAGGATATGTAGATACTTTAATTATTGACTTATATTGAATAAACATATATCCATTAATGGAATAAAAATGAGATGAATTGTAATTGTAAAATGGGAAGAATATTCTAGAGCTATGTCCTCACAACATCTGGTATATAATATCATCTATATATCTTTCTAGCATTGCGCTTAGCATACAAAATAACCAGAAATTCTTTTGTTAAGTAAATCATGTACACTTTAGGAGGAAACAAAGTTCCACGTCTACAGTTTCTTTAAGCAGAAGCTAGACAGCTAGTTGACAGATATTGCTGTAAGATTCCTAAGGGAGTAAGAAATTGACCTCTAAAATTATTTGATCTGACACCTTCAATATACTGACTTTTACACTTCATAATATCTGCTGATCATTCACCTGCTGTAGGAGAATGATGGAGTTTTAACAGAGCAGTTTCTCAGACCCAGTTCTTCTCATACATTTGAAGAATTCTTATTTTCCTTAGGGTAAGCAGATATGTGTGGTGACATACAGGCTCCAAAAATTGAATTGTTAACACTCAACAGGAAGTGAAGTTGATCTCACTGCAAAAACTCAATAGAGAATGGGATAACTGATTAAGAGCACAATTCCAAACAAATTTGAGACACAATTTTAGTTGCTGAGAAAGACATCTATTCTTGTTTTGTTTAATCAGAAAGGACATCTATTCTTGTCTTGTCTAATCAGACTCTGCTTCCCCACTCTGAAACTGTATGAATTGGAGTTACCTATTGCCTATTGCCTTAAGGCTAACTTTATTAGCTTCTATCATCCCAGCAAACAGGAGTACAGTCTCAATGTGACATTCCTCTAATAATGGTTTATCACACTGGTGGCTTGATTTATTACTTTATCCTTTATATTGCATTTACCACACTTTATTGTAAAACTAATAAAACAACAACATTCTAGATAATTGGTATCCAACTTTATAACTGAGTTCTCGTTTTCATAGAATTGACTGAAATGATAATGCTTATTTTTTTAAATGTACAAAAAGGGCATTTTCATTTGTTAAAACCTAAGCAAACATTTTTTTTTAGATCATAAATTTTTCCTATCTTCCTTCCTATCACTATCCCTTCTTAGTTTCATCTCATCACTCTATTTTCTCAGGTTATCTTGAATCCATTATGTTTTAGTGTTATACTTTATATTCAGGATAAGCATAATGCTACATTGCCTTCAAGAGCCTGATACATAGAATTTGTATCACAAGATTTGGGTATGAAAATGCACATTAAATGTATTGAGTATGTATTTAGTATTTATTGAGTATCCCCCATATGAAAGTTACTGGGCTAGGAAAAAAAGATATAAAATCATTTTCACACAAGACATGCACTCAGTTACTTACAGTTTTGTGGCAATCAGATAGAAACAACAGTACATAGTGAATAGTTATACTAGGTAAAGAGAAATAGATTCAACAAATTTAGGACATCTATAGGACATATCTGCTATACTTCTCTCTACCAAGAGTTGCATTAGATTTCAAAACAATCATTGAAAGGTGGTATTTGAAGCTTTGCTTATTTGTTGGTGTCTTATAAGAACATCTAGACTAGCTATATTAGGTGCTCCTATAAAAATATATATTAAATATATATTAAATAGAGGCAGCTCACTGAGTCCTTCCATAGTTAGACAGAACTAGAGGGATACAGTTAAGACCCCAACTCTGAGATTATACGAGAGACAACTCTAGTAGAAGACTCATTACAAACTCAAGCACTGACACGCTCACTGCCAGCTTTATCCATGGGATGATATGACAAAGGTCTCTCTTCATCACATCTGTCTATCTTCCCCAATAAATCTACATAGCACCTCTTTTTATTCTTCACATCATTCAATCCTGCATCATACTCTGATGTACATTTTTCTGACTAGAAGACCTTTGGTCATTTGTCTGAAATATAAATGAAGAAAGTTAAGGAAAGAAACTAAGGCTTCTACAATAGCTTGGGCAGGCAGAAACCCTCATGCAAATAAGTTCCTTTAATTCTGAATGAAAGTTCAGGGTCTCCCTGGTGGCACAAGGGGTTAAGAACCAAACTATGAAGCTGTCCGCAGTCTCTGCAGCATGAGTTCGATCCCCCAGCTGGCCAGGGAGCAACCCACATGAAGCAGCAGACCTCTCCTGACTCACCCAACTGCTCCCCTCAGCAGTGTACTTCTGCCTGTTCTGTTCCCCACTCTGTCTCTGGTTGGTCCTCTCACGGCCTCCCCACCTATGTCCTGTACCCCAGCTCTCATATGCATAAATAAAGAAATCTTTAAAAAATACTGAATGAAAGTTCAAAAGATGTTATGCAGTCACAAGTATGTGAATGACTATTGGGGATACCAAAACACACTTTATATATGATGCTTGTAAAGATCTTATTTCAAATTTGTTATATAATGATCACACATGGTAATCAACTATAGTAAAGTGGATTTCTAGTCAAGGAAGAAAAGAATGTCATCTAAGAATAATTCTAGAGGAAGGGAAGTTGGTGCCAACAGAAGATAGACAAATTGTTTTCAAAACATTTGTTACAGAAATAACAATGGGGCCTCCCCTGGTGGCGCAGGCGGTTGAGCACCGTGCTGTGACGCTGTCCGCAGCCTCTGCAGCGCTGGTTTGATCCTGGCCGGCCGGTGAGGTTCCCACATGGCACGGCAGACCTCTCCCGTCTCACCCGCTGCTCCCCTCAGCAATGTATCTCATCAGTCTGCCTGTTCTGTTCTCCGCTCTGTCCCTGGTGAATTCTCTCACCCTCCCGCACTTCTGACCATACCCAATACTTGCATAAATAAATAAATAAATCTTTAAAAAAAAAAAAAAAAACAATGGCATACTATTTATCTAGTGATAATTTTTTGACCCTTCTTAGTAAAATCTACTCAACCAAGACTTTGATTAGAAATCAGACTACTGGTCTACAATGATATTCTGTGAGAAGAGATGATTCACCTGATAGACATTTCCTTACAATGCATACATCCCAGAGTTTGATGTATGCCTGAAAACACAAGCCATTTCAGCACATATCCAAGTGTTCCACACAGCTTGTTATTACCTGCCAACAGTTTTACATAAAGAAGCTGTTCTAGGGGTTCCTTTAACTGTTGCAGCAAATTGACAAGGTGTTGTATGTGCTCTATCCAGCAACAAGAGCTAAAACCTTGTCAAAATCATACCGTTTTGGTTATAGACTGGGATGACTTCTACAGAGTCAATAAAAGTGGCAGCATGAGGGCAGCTGATGTATAGTCATCCAACCAAGCAGCTGCCATAAAGTTCCATTACCTGCTAATCACTGGATGTACTGGTGCTGCATGCTGCTCTCTCCATGTCTCTCATGTAGCAACACCAATCATCAAATGGAGTCCAAGTAGATGCACTCCTGGGGGAGTTCCTAAATACTGCAGGACTCAGACTATGAAAAAAATAATGTGGTGCTGTAGCACTGGCAGTAGCAAGGGAACAAAGAATGGACATTTGAATTCCTATTTGATCGTAGCAATTGGACGTTACTATTAATGAATATTTGCTTATAGAATTTGTCTTTTCTGCCACTATTCCTATTCTACCATTCTTTTGTGTTGATGCCTATATTTGTCATGGAAGTTTCTCAAAAAACACTGTATTTTGTCTTCATTGTTGCTTTATAACCTGAATTTCACCCATCTTATTATCAAACCAGAGGAAAACAGCATGAGTTAGGGTTAGTGAACTAGAAAATACTTTTTTCCTTGAAACCATCACAAATTGAAAAGGCAAAAGACATAATGACAAAAAAAATTAAATAATACATATGATAAGGAAGTACTATCCAAAAAATATATAGAACTCATAAATCTCAAAGCAGAAGAAGGGAGGAAGAGAGAGAAGGAAGGAGGGAGGGAGAGGACAAACTGGGCAGGAGATATGAATAGTCATTTTTCCAGAGAAGACATACATATGGCCAGCAGGTAAATGAAATGATGCTCAACATAATTAATCACCAGGGAAATTCAAAACAAAACCACAATGAGATGTCAACTTGCACCTGTTAGAATAGCTATTATCAAAAATATTTAAAAAAAATAACAAGGGTTGGCAAGGATATGGTAAAACAGGGAACATTTGTGCACTATAGTTGAAGATATAATTGATACAGCCACTATGAAAAACAGTATGGAGGTTCCTCAAAAATGTGAAAGTAGAACTATGGTAATATGATCCAACTTCAGAGTATTTATACAAAGAAGATGAAAACACTAACTTGAAAAAGATATATACCCCCCAAATTCATGACAGTATCACTTACAATAGCAAAGGTATGGACACAACCTAAGTGCTCATCAATTCATAAAAGGATAAAGAAGATAATGATATATTTTACATAGCCATATACATGCCATGGAATATTATTCAGTCATAAAAAATGCCATTTTGTGACAATGTGGTTACATCCTGAGGATCTTATGCTAAGTGAAATAAATCAGACAGAGAAATACAAATACCCTATGATCACTCTGACAGGTGAAATCTTGAGAGAGAGAGAGAGAGAGAGAGAGAGAGAGAGAGAGAGAAGAGAGAAAAGAGAGAGATCAACTTTATAGATAGAACAAATTGGTGGCTGTTATCAGCAGGAAATAGGGTGATGGGAGAAATGGGTGAAAGAAGTCAAAAAGGAAAACATAACTATTATTCAGCAACTATTGCTCAGGACTAGGAATAGGGTTAGGCAAATGAGACTCACTTTGGGCACAAAATGTAAGGAACGCTTTGGGCACAAAATGTAAAGAATCCAATAATCAATATATAAAATATTTTAATGTACAATTTTTTAAATTAAAATTGATGCAAGTAATCTATGTAATCTATGATGAAAAAAATAACAAAATTTCAATTGTGAACAGAACCTGAAAATTGGGCCTCATCTACCTCACATTTATCCCAAGCATGTGAAATACAATAGAAACATTAAATTAACTGGATAATTGTAATAACAATCATCATCTTGAGGAACTGAGGTGATTCATGAAAAAGTAACTAATTCATACTGACTCATTTGATGAAACCTATTTTATCATGTTACTAACCTGCTCAACTCTGTACTATATGCTCTAGTCAGGAAAAATGTCCTATGATTAAAGACTTCAAACTACTAAATAAATAAATAAATAAATAAATAAATAAATAAATATTTTGTCTTTATTTAGATCTCTAAGGTTAGGAGAACTGAAAGCTGGCTCTGCTGATTTTTTTGTTCTGTATATTTGGTTGTACACTCTCTCTTTCTGAACACCAGTATCTTCAACTATTTAATAGACACAAAAAAAACCAAGATCAAATAACAAGAACCTAGCTCATGGGGTGATAGTCAGTATTAAATAAGGAAATAGTTGTAAAAGCACCAATGCCAGTGCCTGAAGCATCATAATGATTCAGCCCATATCAGCTAGATCTAGATGGGATTCATTATGAACTTGCATAGACAGCAA